GTAAATAGCAGCTGGTTATGCACACAAATGCCCCTGGCTCCATCTCCACAGATTCCAGGGCTGCCGGCAGCCTGACTAGAAGGAAATGGTGATCCTGTTCTTACCTGGACATCTCATCTGTTTTCAGTGATGTTTTCACAGTATTTTACTGCCAAGAAATCTGCTTTCCTATTCCTGTGAAAGAATTCCTTAGCTATGGGGACCCAGTGAGGGGAAGAACTCAGTAGCTAATGCTGCGCTAAAGGCTGTGGGGTATCACGCACTACAATGCTCCCTTTGCCTGATGTGAAGGTGTTGTACTGTTGAAAACCTCTCCACTGCTCTTGTGTTACAGCCCTGGCTCTTATTAGCATGTGGTATTATAAGAAAATCACTACATGGAAAAGACACGAAGTGGAATTGTGGAAAGTAGAGGGGCCCTGAGCACTGACACACACCACCAAACCCCCCAGCTTCTCCCTAAATGGGGGAGGAAAGGGGGGAATAACATTGGAGGGGTTTTCAATGAGATTCTCATTTCTTTCTGGGCACGTGAGACCAAGGTCTGGTTCCAGTACACGAGTCCCTGACCATGGCCCTCCTGACCATGAACATCACTTGCCTTCCTGCCACAAAGGAGCAAACATCCCAAGCCCAGACCTGAATTCTCCTCCCCAGACTTGATTAACACTCCTCCCAGTGTGATACAGGTTTAATTCTGCATCAATAAGGTCGCAAATGCTGTAGCAGAACAATATTATTGTTCAAGGCTCTTGCCAAACATTATATGCCTGGAATTAGAGATAAATATGCTCTCTATGCATTACAGCATGGTGTTTTGTCTTTGAAAACGTCCTTTGTCTACGTACAGTCTGCTGTCTGTCTGCTTTAACCCACAACTGTGCACTGTGTTCCTCTGCTCTTTTTTAGGTATGTCTTAGCAAACTTTCTCATAGCAGATAAGGAAGATCTCATCCATGACACACTATTCATTTTCTCTGCTTGCTTTGGTGCTTTCTGTCCTGTTGCTGCCAGAGGCAATTTTATGCAATGAAAGACGAAAATCTGGAGCAGAAATCAGTGGCAAGGGATGAGTGCTTCTTCCAGACTTTCAGTCATTGCTAGCAATCATTTAAGCACTAATGCTGAGGCTGGACTGAGTTTGGACTGACAGGAAGATGTCCTGTGCTGTCTGTTCAGTCCTTGCCCATTCCTGAAATGAATGAAAATGAGACAAATGATTAAACATTGACACGTTGTTCAGTGAGAAAAGACAGAAATAAACCTGCTAGTAAAAACATACAAATCGTAAAGTGTAGGATGAGAAAGGGGAGGGCATGGCAGAAGCTGCTGAGAAACTACAGCAGTTGAGATGAGAAATAGCAGTGGAAATCCTAAACCCCAGATTTGTGAACACATCAGAGTCATTATGAAATCCCAGCCAGCATCCGAAAACTCGTTACACCCAACTGTATACAGGAAACTGGTCAACCACTGAGGAGATGCTCTGCATCAAAGGGTATGTGAGCTTCTCCTTTGTCTTTATTACATACTGTAAGTAGTTTATTCATTTATCTGATGGGAGAAGCACTCCCACTGTCTGTGTTCTGATATCCCAAAAATATGCTGATACGTTGCAAGTACCTTTGAGCTAGAGCTCCATTACAGAGCTCAAAGTTCCTGACTTTGTATCAGGGTGGAACCTGTGCATGCACAAGCATTCTCCTGCTCTCTGCTTTCTACAAAGACTAAACGTGGTGAAGTGGGTGAGGCAGGAGCCTTGGTACGCTCCAGACAGGTTCCCAGTCTGAAAAGGCCAGGGAACATAGCCCCAGGGATTGCCACTCCAGTCAGGTCAGGCTGACACATCCCTAGATTGTCCCTTTGTTAAACACTAAATAACTGGGTCACAGAATCCCAGACTGGTTTGGGTTGGAAGAGACCTTAAAGCTCATCCAGTTCCAACCCCTGCCATGGGCAGGGACACCTTCCATAGAGCAGCTTGCTCCAAGCCCCTGTGTCCAACCTGGCCTTGAACACTGCCAGGGATGGGGCAGCCACAGCTTCTCTGGGCACCCTGCGCCAGTGCCTCAGCACCCTCACAGGGAAGAGCTTCTGCCCAAGAGCTCATCTCAGTCTCCCCTCTGGCAGGTTAAAGCCATTCCCCTTGGCCTGGGCTTCAGAAAGCAGAGAGGGAGTTTATTATAAAATTGTTTTGGGTAGCACTGAACTCTCAAGGTCCTCAATGAAAACCTAATTGCTAAATACTGAAAGACAAATGACCACATGGACTCGTGTTCAACACTAACCTATATCATCAGAGTGATCCCAGAGGACGAGCATTCGAACAGATGCTAATTCCAGGACTAAAGCAGGCATTGTGCTCCCTGTAAAACACAGTTGTCCAGTGGGCTCTTGGCTTTTGCACTTCCCCTCCTCCCCTTTGTGCTTTCCTCTCCCTACCCCCATTGCTTCCCAAACTGTTCTCTTCTTTTTACCAGATAGGAAAAGTGAACAAACACATTCACAAGGGAGATAGGTGCCAAGGATGAAAGTGTGCAAGTGCTAAAGAAAGGGACCTCCTTAAAACATACAGAATACACAGGGTATTGATATTATTGAGGAAAAAAAAACCAAACAACAAAACAAACCGAAAACAAACCGAAATGCCCCAAACGACCCTTGAAACACTCAAACTTAACCATTATCTAAAAAATCTGTCAGACAAAATAATGGGGGAGTTTGGGGTGAACTTCTGGCTTTCCATCTGGATGACATTCGCAATCAAAATGAGGCGAAAGGTTTAAAAGGTTTTCCAAACTAGGACAGATGCACAGAGTATCCCATCAAATCACAAGAGATGAAATGAGCTAACCCCAAAATACTTATGCCAAGGCTTGCAGCATTCCTATGATATTTTTTAATGGCTTAACATTACTGAAGTTTCAAACTGGTCTTCCCCGAGGTTGGAATCTGCTTGCTGGGAGGGAACAAGTTCATTTCAAGGGCAGGGCTTCGTGCTCGCACACGGGTTTTTATTGCCGTGCTTTGCTTTGCTTTGCTTTGCTCTGCTCGGGGGAAGGCAGCGAGGTTTGAAACGACGCAGATAGCACACAGGCAGCGCCGGCCAGGGGCTGGGATGGGGGCTGGAGCTGCTCCAGAAGCTGGGGCTGGAGCCGCTCCTAGGGGCTGGGGCTGGAGCCGCTCCTAGGGGCTGGGGCTGGAGCCGCTCCTAGGGGCTGGGGCTGGAGCCGCTCCTAGGGGCTGGGGCTGGAGCTGGAGCTGCTCCAGGAGCTGGGGCTGGAGCTGCTCCAGGAGCAGTTGGTTTCCAGTTTGCAGCCAGGCGCCAAAATTCAAAAAACGCCCCGCACTTCAAATCCAAAGACGCGGCTGCAGACAATGAGGAAGGAGGCGGCTCCAGGGGCTCCTGGGCTGTCCTTGCTGCAGCTCCCTGCCCGCAGCACGCAGACGGGGCAGCAGCTGACCTCCCTGCTCAGGCAGAGAGGCCGCAGCACTCTGGGATTTGTAGTCTCTTCTTCCTGCTTCCTTTGCAGCTCAATTGACGTTAAAATCCCCCAACCCTTGAATTCAATCAGAAAGCAAAGTTTCACCCCAAAGCTGTATATCGGATTATGAGATGGCACTGACAAAGAGCTGATTGCAGGCACCTTCGAACAGGGGGGTTGTGTAAATGCCTACAGACTGAGCACATGGAGTGATCCCCAGGCTTACTTTCATACCGGTTCATAACTCCCTCCCGTTAACCCACTGATACCCACGGCTTCACAGACATGGTGTGGAAATCCCTGCCCTCAGCTCTCTGTAGGAGATAGAGGTGAAGGAGGAATCGCTGCTGGGAGAGGGTCGCCAAGCAGGTGGGGTGGGCGCTCTGTTGTGCACAGCACAAGCCAGGACAAGCCTTTCCTATCGGCTGCATACAGGCCAAGGGAATGGCTTGAACCTGCCCGAGGGGAGACTGAAATGAGCTCTTAGGCAGAAGCTCTTCCCTGTGAGGGTGCTGAGGCGCTGGCACAGGGTGCCCAGAGAAGCTGTGGCTGCCCCATCCCTGGCAGTGTTCAAGGCCAGCTTGGACACAGGGCTTGGAGCAAGCTGCTCTAGTGGAAGGGGTCCCTGCCCGTGGCAGGGGTTGGAGCTGGAGGAGCTTTAAGGTCCCTTCAACCCAAACCAGGCTGGATTCTGAATTCCTGGATTATTCTGAGGTTTTTCAGTTTGAGGTGTACTTGATGATCCCAGATGTGCTAACACGAGGATCATCTAGCTTCTGCTCTGAGGATAAACCCATTCGCACCTATTGGGTCAGCCTGGCTCCCTAGCTTTCTTTCCATGTACTGTGTGCAGTATTTCCCTGCTTGCTTTCCTATTTCTCAGTCTCTGCATTATGCTCATGCTGCTTTTCTTCCTTGCTGTCCATGGATATGAACAACGGACTCTGAATCTGGTTTTTCTTCTTCTCAGGCAGAAAAATCTCCCTTTTCTCAGCCTTCCCCTGTAGCCCAAATGCACAACAGCCAGAAGAGCTTTTCAGCCTCCAGAATTCTGGGACACGCGGAATGAGTTCACGGGAATTGTAATCCCATTTACGTTAACGCTCAAGAACTGGCGGGGGGGGGGGGGGGGGGTGTATTTGGTAAAAAATATGGTTTGGGAAAAAGAATAGCCCAATTCTTAAGGAATGGAAAACTCCCCGGGGGATCTGGGCTCACAGCAATCAGAACCAGCTCAAAGCAGCACTGTATGTCAGATAACTAACACGAAGATTTGTTATGTCGGTTAAATACTACCCTGATCCCAGTGCCATCACCCGCCATGGACTAAGCGCTGCTCCGACTGAGAGCAGGACCAGGAGCCCCTGAGGAGTTCTTTATCAGCTCTGGTCCCTCCTGGTTTTATTACCAAACAGAGCTTCCCATGGAGACCGTCCCCTCTCTCCCTGCACTCACAACAGCCTAAAGCAGTATTTGCCTTAAAGAACAGCCCCGGCCGCTCACAAAATGGACGGCGGCCGAGCCTACTCCTCCCGGCGCTCCCTGGGGCGCGGCCATCTTGGCCCCAGTACTTCATCTCCCATGCCGCCGCGCGGCGGGGGGAGGCGATGTCCGCCATCTTGCCGCTGCCTCCTCCTCCCCCGGTGCGGCTGGATTGAATGAGCGCGCTGCCCGCCCTCCCGCGAGCTGAGCGCCATGTCAGGCACCCCGAGCCGCGGCACCCCCGGCGGGACCCCGCTGTCACCGACCCGCATCTCCCGCCTGCAGGAGAAGGAGGAGCTGCGGCAGCTGAATGACCGCCTGGCCGTTTACATCGACCGGGTGCGGGCGCTGGAGCTGGAGAACGACCGGCTGCTGGTGAAGATCTCGGAGAAGGAGGAGGTCACCACACGGGAGGTACGGCCTGCGGGCCCGCGGCTCCGGCCACCAGCGGCCCGTTGGAGCCGTTTTCCCCGCTCCGTCCCGCAACGGGGGTCCGCGGCCCAGCGGCTCGGCCGAGCCCTTCCCGCCCGCCCGGCTCGGGGCGCGCTGTGGCGGCTCCGTGTGGCCGCGGGCTTGGCGGCGCCATTCGCGTCCCGCCTCGCCCCGGCGGGAAGCGGGTTCCGGCCGACCCCAGCCCATGGGCTCGGCGCCGAGGGCGAAAGCTGCGGGGGCCGGGCCGGGCCGAGCGGAGAGCGCGGAGGGCGGCGGGAGTGCGTGTGGAGATCCGGCTCCTGCCTGTGCGGCCCCTCGGGGGCTGTCAGGGGCTCGGCGGCCGCGCAGTGACACCTTGGAGGCGGCTTAGGGCCGGCACCTGGAAGGGGCCCGGTGTCGGGAGCGGGCCGGCGACCGGCGGTGGTCGAAGCAGCGCGGTGCTCGTCGCGTTTGGGCCAGGGAGGGCCCGCTGCACCGAGCACGGTTCTCGCGGTCCGCCGGGGCTGCGTGCGGGTCTCAGCGGCCGCGGGGTGGTTCTTTGCTGTAGTTTGTAGTGTGTTCCCCATGCGGGCTGCTGGGTGTGCGGTACCCCGTGCCGAGCACGCGTGTTCTGTGCGAGTTGTATAGCAAGCGGAGCGTTAACTTTCCCTTTAGGGTCCGTGTGCTGATGGCCGCGTCTCGTATGGGATGCGATGAAAAACTTGCTTCTCAGCAGAGGAAATGTGGGAATGAAATCCTTGGTGTGTGAATCATCGAGTGGACGGTGTCCCTGCCTGTGGCAGAGGGCTGGAACCGAATGAGCTTTGAGGTCCCTTCCAACCCAAGCCGTTCTGTGGTTCTATGAGCTACTCCCGTGATCTTGGAGGCAAAACTCGGCACATCCTTTTCCCTAAGCCATATTTTGCTTTTCCCTCTTCTGTTGTATCGGCTTTCCCCCAGGACTCTCCTTCCCGTATAGAGGAAGGATGTGGTCAGTGACACAGCTGGGGGCACTCCCACCCATCCTGTACCAGTCCAAACCCCCTCTACATCATGTGGTGGAGGTAATCTGCAAGGTGAGGTGGCCCACCTCTGAGATGAAGTTAAACTTCAGTGGGAAGCCTGTAGATAGCAGCCTTTACTGCAGCTTGTGCTGTGCCACTGTGTAGGCTTTTATTTTTTCCTCCCTTTTTCTTTTTCCTCCCCCCTTTAAGGGTCTGATTTGATGCTGCTTGGGCTGGGAGGAGGCTTTGAATTCATTTTGTTTAAGCAGATTGGATATGATAGTGTCTTGTTGTGGGAATAGTTGCCCTACCTGCAGTCTGTGCACCTAGGACTGAAGTTCCTTTGAAGTCCCTTGGTACCACTTAATGATAGATTATAACTCCCATGTTTTCGAGATAACTAGATATTGCTAACCATAAAGCATGGCTGCATCACTTATCCTATGTGAAATCGTGCTATAAACAAAATAACCACCTCTGATTCAGGGAGCTTTTAAGTCATAGATTGCTGGAGGCGGGAATGAGTTTTACTGCATTTTAAATGCAGGAGGCATTGACAGCACACATGTAATGAGTAACAACAGGACAAGCAGACAACATAGATACAATCTCATTTGACTTTTAATACAGGCATAAACCAACTCCTAATGGCAGTTCTCTGTGTTAACAATTCTGGATGTAGTAATCAGAAATTAAACTTGATGATTTTGATAGCAATCCTTTGCTTGCTTTGCCCTTTGGTTTTCCTTTTTCCCTGTGCAGGCTGGTGGATGGTGGTTTATGACTGTGAGAGCAGTAAAACTGTCAGATTTGGGGTTTACTGGAGTAGAGGAATCCTTTCCTTTCACTTTCAGGACCTATCTAGTAAACTGGATTTTCTGCTGACAGTTCAGTTTTCTTGGTATACTTGGTACAGTTTATTGGAAATCACGTGTATAAAGTGATTAGGCTTAGCATGAAGTAAGATATTAATCAAAACCACCCCCCAACGAAACAAAAAAGAACATAAAAATAAACACATCCCAAAGCAACTCTGTGTAGAAGCACAGTTAAGTGTAGTCCTGTGGTGGTGGCACTGTTCTAGCTGCATCATTATATATATATACACCTTTATATTATTCAACATATTTGAAATAGAGTATTTTCATTAAATTCCCCCTTGTCCTCAGCTGTGTGTAAATTTTGTTCTGATTTTTTTCTATTTTATCTGTTTTAGTTGTTTAAATATTGTTATACTTTCAGCTTTGCTCTAGTAGTGGCAGGGACCATCATCTGCTACTCTGGTAGATGGAATGATGCATGTTGCGGGGTGGCAAACAGGAGTGACTGCTCACCAGTGGGCTCTATGTTGACACCTGAGCCTTCTGCCTTGAGTGCAGGTGGTGGATCTATAGTCCAAAGCAAACGGGAGGCTGAGGATTGCTATGACCAACGGTAGACAAGAGCATGGTATCATAAGATGTTTGTCCATTGCTTGTAACTCCAGTATCCCACAGTAACCATGTCTGAGAAAGGGGCTGGGATGGGATCATTTCTGACATGCTCGTCCCCACCCCTGCATGCATGGGAACAAAGGGGTGGCATTTCTGAGCTTGTTCTCAAAGCTCTGGTTTAGGGGAATGTCTTTGAGATGAGTGAAGTCCTGCTTGGTGCTGTTTGGGCAAGGACCATAGTCAGTGTTGTGCCAGGCTCTTTAATCATCAGCTGCTTGGAATGTTCTTTTTCCTCCTTGTTTTAGTCACCAGTCTGCAGAAGGTAAAAGGAAGCAGCCACTTTCCCCTCTGTTGGGCAATCTCCTTAGTCCTACAGACCACAGCTGCCTCATGGCTCTTCTTGAGGAACACAAAGCTGCCACCTCTTAACAGCAAAGAAAAGAAACTTTACAGAAGTTGATTCATCTTTAGTCCTCTACTAATTATAGCCCCTTTTCCTGCTTTTCCTAACTGTCCAATGCTGTTCTATCTCTACTTGTGTGCAGTAGGCCTCTAGAGAGCTACAAATATATAACAGTAGGTTCTCAGACAAATGCAAAGAGTACTTTGTGTGTCTGGACGAACCTGTGGTTATGCTGATTTCTTGTTTGCTCTCTTGCATGAATCCCCTTAGCTTAGTCTATGTCAAGAGAACTTTAGCTCATCCCCTTGCTTTTCTACCTTGCCTAGTATATGACTGATGCACTTCTCACTGTGCTGGGGTTACTGTTACAATGACCTCATTTGTGAGGCTGGGAGGAGGAAATGCTGGAAGGGCTGAGAGGAAAAAGCTCCTAGAGCTCTCCTCAGTTCCCTTTCTACCAAGTCCTTCTCCTCCCCTGCAATGCTTACGATTGCAGCCCTCCATGATGGGCATGGGAGAGATACCCCACTGTTCTCACCCACAGAAAGGAGGAGCAGAGATGTAGTAGGTGTGGTGTTGCCACCTGCAAAATACATGTTCAGATGCTGCCGTGGATGCGCATTCAGGAGCTGTAGCCTCCAAGATGTGGGGTTAAATGGTCTTAGGGCACTGCAGACATCATCTGGGAGGTGATGGTGGTGGTCCACAACACACATCATCATTGTTCTTGAGAACTTGACTCATATTCCGGGTGAGTCTGAGCTGTAGCTGACTGGCAGCCCTTTGTCAGTCCAGAATCGGGTGAGTAAGAACATATTGAGCCACACATGGTGGGAATACACTTATGTTTAGCATGTAAATGCATGTTAGTGAGATTAATGTTTTATTACTAAATTTCTCTGGACTCACTTGGAGTTGGATGGGGCTTCTTGCCTAGCACATTCATTGCCTTCTTGGCGTGTTTCCTGTGTTTTCATTGAGAAGCCTTGCAGCTTCTCTCAAGATACTGCCATGGGAGAGTCTGTGTTCTTGTGTCTATCCTTGAACTGCTGCACAGGGAGCTCAGAGTGCTCCCAGCACAGGTTGATCGGTTGAGGAGCATCAGCCTTTCAGACTGGTCTGTGGAAGCATCTCTAGTTCCTTGTTCTCTATATGCTCTAGTTTCTTGTTTTGTGTGTGGCCCAATTACAGACTTAGAGGTTCTTTCCTTGGCAAAAGAGGGGAAAAAACATGGGAGCACCTTCAGAGTGCAACTTGTAGGATGCTCAACTTGGCCTCTGTACAGGAGGAGTTGCAGGAAGAGAAGGACAGGGCTTGGAGCAAGCTGCTCTAGTGGCAGGTGTCCTTGCCTGTGTCAGGGGGTTGGAAGTGTATGGGCTCTAAGGTGCCTTCCAACCCAAGCCAGGCTGTGATTCTGTGATGGCTGAGCAGATCCTGCAGAGTGACACTGGGTTGTGCCACTGCTGGTGACAACAGGAGTTTGGTTTTTACCGCCACAGAACTGTCTTTCAGGATTGATGACTGCTTCAAAGAGAGGGGATCCACCTGACTAAGTAGGCAAACTTTTCCTTGCCAGCAAGGCTGGTCAGCCTGCTAAGAAGAACTTTATATGGGAATGATGGGGTAGGGAGAGATTCCTCTCAGGTGAGGAAGTGGTGGATGGGGAAAGCAAGCAAAAAAGGCCTGGGGTTGTGCAAGCAGAGGAGAAAGCAACAGAAAAAGGATGGAATGGGAACACCCCAAGCATGGGCGCATGAAGAAGGAAGTGCCTATGGGACAGTCTTGTGGGGAAAGCTCTACTGCCCTGCGTGGGGAGTCATCACTTGGGTGCTTCTCTGAAAAACCAGTGTGTGTAGCGTGGGGAGCAGACAAGGAGCAAGCAGTCTGTGGGCAGTTACACCTCTGTGGTCTCATTGGGATCAGGGATAGCTCACACAACTAGAGTGCTGGGATGGATGGATACAGGCTTTTCAGGAAGGTGGGGAGGGAGAACAGTGGGAATGCTGAGAGCTCTGCCTGAAGACAGGTTAAGAGCTAGCTGGGAACCTGTTGGTCTGCCTACTAATTCTGACCAAGACGGGGTGATGTTGTGAACTGCGTCTGCTACTGACCTGATCAAGAAGAGGTAAATGAGGCCGCCTCAAGTCAGCTGGGAGAAGCCTCACATGCCCTAGTTTTTGTGCTCTGCTAGGTATTTTGTGCTACCTAATATTTAATAAATGAGGAAGGGCAGTGACCATGATGTGGTCAAGTTTGGGATCTGTAGAGGATGAAGCAGCACAAAAAGCAGGACCACAGCTCTGGATACAAGGAGAGTAGGCTTCAGCCACTTCAGGCCTCTGCTTGGTAGAATCCCATGCCCTAGAGAGCAAAGGGGGTCCGTCAAAGCTGGGTTGATATTCAAGGATGACCTCCTCCAGGCTCAAGAGTGGTCCATCCCAACAATCAGGAAGTGGAGCAAAGGTGGCAGGAGGCCATATGGATGAGCAAGGAGGTCCAGACTAAACTCGGACATAAGGAAGGCTCATGTACTCATTGTCTTCTTATCAGACCAGTCTTCAGGAATTCCAGACCCCTGCCACCTGAGTGAAAGCCTGGCACAAGGAATAAACCCATCTTGAAGTGTTCTCCTGTTCAATTTGATAATCTAGAACTTTCCTTGGTGTTATCATAAATCCATATTCTCTTTGCATCCTATTGTCAGAGTTCTGGCAAGGTTTTAGCGGGTTTTTCTTGCTTTTTTTCCTCTTTTCAGTGATTGAAGGTGTTCCTGCTCATTGCTGTCTGCTGCCTCTGCTGGAAGTTGCACTGTGTCCTTACCTCTCAGTTATTTCTGGCTGTTCAATGCTTTACCTTAAAATGCCAGTGAAAGTGGCTTTTTGACTAACACTTTGACTTTGGAATTGGAGCTTTGTGTTTCCTTCTAATGTTTGTTACTGGAATAAGAGCAGAGATGTGGTTAACATGAATGAAATCCATACCAAGCTACCACACTGGTTATGCCATGAATGAATCAGTTCTTTCTAATTAAGAAGCACAGTCCCTGGTTCTCTTTCTACCAACAGGTTCTGAAACAGCTTTTGTCAGGCAATTTTCAGCTCCAGCTAATGACATTCTCTCTACACAGGAGTTGCATGAAATGTTTATTCTCTGTTCAGAATACCATTGTTTTGGCGCTGTATGAAAGAGTTCAGCATAGTCATGGTACACCTCTTTGTAGGAATTTCTTTATCTTGTAACTGGTAATATGGAGTAGAGTTGGCTTGTGCCATTGACAACCTCTGACTATCAGCTATGGAGTAAAAAAACCCCCAAGCTTAAGTAGAATAAAGATTGAAAGAATTAATTCTTTAAAAAGAAGGTAGTAAGTTTGCATGGGTAGACAGCCAAATCAGATCTGGTGTGTGGTTTGCTCATAAACCAAGGCTTATCAGCCCTTACACTGTTGTATTTTAGTTAATTTCAGAAGCTTTAGAGACTATAGTCTATATCAGGAGCTTTCATTATATCCCGACTGCTTTTCATCAGTCTTTTTGAAGACCAGATGGTTGAGTCTGGCATTGGAGCCACTGTGATGTTGGAATAGGCACTCCAAGGAATAGCACAGTTTGCTTTGTTGTTCCTGTGTTTTATGCTTTGTAATAAAATTGCTCTTCCTAAAGATGGTGCATTCAGCTTTTGGCTCTTCTCGCTCCCTGATTGCTCTGTTTTCTGAATTTAACGTTAGTGATAGTTGTCCTGGTGTCCTTTCATAGAATCAATAGCATGGAGCAGCCCAGACACCCCCGTGTGTTTGGCTGCACCCCCAGAGCATGAGCAGCAGGTCAAGGCAGGGGATTCTCCCCCTCTGCTGTGCTCTGGGCAGACCCCCCCTTGCAGTCCTCATCCAGCTCTGGGGCAACACCACAAGGGGGGGCATGGAGCTGTTGGAGCGAGTCCAGAGGCCAGGGAGATGCTGCAAGGGTTGGAGCAGCTCTGCTCTGGAGCCAGGCTGAGAGAGCTGGGATGGGTCAGCCTGGAGAAGAGAAGGCTCCTGAAGGGGAGACCTCAGAGCAGCTCCAGTGCCTGAAGGGGCTGCAGGAAACCTGGAGAGGGGCTTGGGACAAGGGCCTGTAGGGACAGGCCAAGGGGAATGGCTTTAACCTGCCCGAGGGGAGACTGAGATGAGCTCTGAGGCAGAAGCTCTTCCCTGTGAGGGTGGTGAGACACTGGCACAGGGTGCCCAGAGAAGCTGTGGCTGCCCCATCCGTGGCAGTGTTCAAGGCCAGGTTGGACACAGGGGCTTGGAGCAAGCTGCTCCAGTGGAAGGGGTCCCTGCCTGTGGCAGGGGGTTGGAACTGCTTTAAGGTCCCTTCTTGGACTGTTAATCTTTGAGTTGTTCTCATATCTGAATACTTTCTTCCCCTTAGGTGAGTGGAATCAAGAGTCTCTATGAATCTGAACTGGCTGATGCTCGAAGAGTTCTGGATGAAACTGCCAAAGAGAGGGCCAGACTACAGATTGAAATAGGAAAACTGAGAGCAGAACTTGAGGAGTTCAATAAAAAGTAAGGAAAATCTTCCATGATGCAAGATGATGATGATTTTTTGCATTGGAACGGGCAGTTTTTGCAGTAGGAGTGATACTATTGGGTCTTCCTAATGCCTTTTGGATGCATTGCAGATCAGTGAGAAGATAGAGGCTTGTTGGTACAGCTCATCAGGGCAGATCATCTGACCAGTATGTTCACAAATGTATTTGTAGAAACAAAACCAGTATACTCTGAGTTGGGCAGTTCAGACAACTAGAGGCAGAAAAGTTTAGTTGTGCCTGTTTCTGTCCTCCTGTGTCTCTGGTTATGTGACCACGCACAATGGAAGCTGCTTTGTAAACCAGGTTGAGAAACTAAGTTAAAACTGACCCATCCAAGGAAGGTTCACTTTTAAAGGTTATCAGTTTCATAATCTGCTTCAGTGCTCTGACTCATAGCAGAAATGAAGGAAAAGGGTGGCCTTAAGGAATTCGGGAATACGGAAGCAGTGTTGCCTTAAAAACACATGAAGCTAAAACGCAAGTGTGCTGCAAGAAGATCTTGTATCAACTGTACTTTAAAAACCTGCTGTTCAGTCTGAATCACAGAGAATTGGCCTGATAAACTGGCTCTGAAGCCAACTGCAATCCATCATTTCCATTCCCACCAGGGAGTTTTCATAACCAAATCCTGGTCAGCAGTTGAAACTTCATTTTTAAAATTAATATATGGATATAAAATCGGTTTTAATCCAGTAGTCCTACTGTAAGTCACCCATCTCCCTTCATTTGCATCTAAGTAGTTATAAAAGGAATCATATAATCATAGACTGGTCTATGATTATATACTATGATTCCAGATCTGATTGTCTGCAACGCATTTACAGTGAGTTGTTTTACTGCATAACGCATGTGATGCAGGGTCCTGTGTCTGGGGAGTCTGTTTTAAAGCCTTTCCGATTGCTGCTGAATAGCTGTTTTTAAGTAGAAGTTGTGTTTTGTCTATATATTTCCTGCAAGCTGCTGAGCTTGAAGACACTGCACATATGTTGCAGAACAGAATTCACACAAACAGATTGGACTAATGATTAAAAGAATTGGTTATAGGGAAATGAAAAACAAATTCAGAGATTGCACCAAGGAAGATGAATTTTAAGATGGTTTAAGAGGAAAAGGCAAGAAGCCATTCCCTGTGTTCTTGGTGTGAGATTAAAGTGAGCTTAAACTGCAGCAAGGACATAGTGCTTCACAGAAAACCCTATGTTTTTAATAACATAATGACATACACTCAGAGAAGCTGCAGAAAGTCAGTATGTTAGAGGAAAAGGCAGACAAGTAATTGGTGGGCAGGAGGAAGATGACCTTGATAGTGTCTGTGAGTTGGACCTAACAGCTCAAATAATCATATTCAAAGTGACCAGAACTGCTTTGCTCGTAATGAATACTGCTGAGAAATACTGGTTTATTCCTATGACCACATTTCCACAGTGAATTACTTTACTACTTCAGGTGGGAATACATCTTGAGGAATGGACTTGGCCACATCAAGTACAAAACACTGGGAATGCTCATGTGCCTCTAAGGAGATGCATGTGCTCTGCTTCTTGGGCTGTAGTCCAAAATGATAGATGTCAGCAATTAAATGTGCTGTGAAGCACTGAGATGGCAAAATACTCCACACCTTGTGTGTGAAGCTGCTTTATTGTCATCTTTTAGCTGGCAGAGTTGCCTTCTTGTTTTATTCTTGCCTGCCCATGACATTCTTTACTAGGCAATGCAATTACAACACACTGGTACTAGCTGTGAGTTTTAAGAGGCATTTACTATTGCTTTCATTAGCTGCATTTGCAGGTTACTGTAGCAGCCATGTAGTGGTATACTTATCCTAATCAAATGTGTATCATAACCAAATACCTGTAGTATTAACCAGGACATGCGCCAGACGTGTGCACCCACTTAATAAATGTAATGAACTTTCGTTTTTAGCTACAAGAAGAAAGATGCAGATTTGTCTGTGGCTCAGGGTCGCATTAAGGATCTTGAAGTGCTGTTCCATAGAAGTGAAGCAGAACTCAACACTGTCCTGAATGAGAAACGCAGTCTGGAGGCAGAGGTGGCTGATTTGAGAGCCCAGCTTGCTAAGGTATGGCTGTGACTGCTTCTAGACTCAGTATTGTCACACGTGGTGTTCTTTGCAGTTAATTTATAATCTGAACATAATAGATCCGTCTCTCTTACTGGTGAACCTTTGCTTGCTCCTCTTGAATATAAAACTAAATAGTAAGAAATGTCTAAAATAACCACAGCAACATCATGGTTTAGAAATGTTACTAGTCAAAAGCTTTTATTTAAAACTTTCTGGTAGGTGTTTGTATAGTCATGAGGTATCAGATACTAAATGTTGTCCTTAGTAATGTCCTGCATAATTCAGACTTAGGTTAGAGTACCCAGTAGAGCAATGCTAGCAAGAAGAACATGCAGAATGTATTGTGCTTGAGGAATTAATATTCCTCAGCTCCATTACCATCCTGTATTGAAATAATCCTATGTTTTAAATAACCAGTCTACAAACACAAAAGCTTGCTTAAATATTCATAAGCCTGCACACACTTTCTTTTGTTGTGGTGGGTTTTGTTTTGTTTGAGGTTTTGTCGTTGGGCTTTTTGTTTCCTTTAAATGGCTTGTCATTAGATGTGTGAATAATTGGTCTAGAGATGGCAGATGAAGACCATAAGGGAATTATGGATCAAGAACAGGGGTCCAGACAAAATTAGATCCTTACCTTTAAAACTGTTGCCTAGGCTGAAGATGGTCACGCTGTGGCTAAGAAGCAGTTGGAGAAGGAGACCCTTATGCGTGTGGACCTGGAGAATCGGTGCCAGAGCTTGCAAGAGGATCTGGATTTCAGGAAGAATGTGTTTGAGGAGGTATTGTCAACCTAATAAAGTTATCATAGTCTGAAGTTTAGGCAGCTTTTACTCAAACTGACTGTAAGCAGTTACCAACTAGTCCAGGTAGGGAAAATCAGTATTACCCTTGCTAGGAATAGATGGAGTAATAAAATAGTCAAAGGTTTTGCCAGAGTTAGACAGTAAATCAGTGGCGGAGTTGAGTGACAGGGGTATTGTCTATGGGCATGTGAGCTTACATAGCAGCTGACTACTGTGGGAAAGGGAATGTCTTGTTCCCTCTCTCTGGACCTCCTTACTTGCACCAGCTCTAATGAGTAGAGGTCATCCAGTATATAGAATGAGACAGGAGATCTGCATGTGCTTAAAAGTGAAACTTGAAGATGCAGATTTTTCTCTGTAATAAAATGCAGATGTTTTGCTATATTCACACTCAATATGTGTAATGGTCACAAAAGGGGTTAACTTTTATCTGACTCCTTGTAGACTGCTATTGTACTGTAGGGATGTATATAGAGAAGGAAAGGGTTTGTAATGCAGCAGATGGGATCTCTTTGCTATGTAAAAAATCATGTTCTCTTCTCCCCATCTTCCCCCTGTTTTAACTTCTGTAGATCCCTTAAGAATTAGATCCTGCTAAATGAGAACTGTAATTTGCATCTGTTAGTACGTGGAGCAATGCTTAGGCTTAAATGCTTTTAGTACTGTAGTTCCTATGTACTAATTAGGAGTGAAATAGTTAATTGTTGTCTGAATGGAATTGCTTGTACTGGTTTACCCTCATGTGGTAATTTGTCCCCCTTGTGTGTGTAGGAAATAAGAGAGACAAGAAAACGTCATGAACATCGCTTAGTTGAGGTGGACACGAGTCGCCAACAGGAGTATGAATCCAAAATGACTCAGGCCCTGGAGGATCTGCGAAATCAACATGATGAACAAGTCAAACTGTACAAAATGGAGCTTGAGCAGACCTATCAGGCCAAGGTAACTCCTGCTACCTGCAGTCTGACAGGATGTCCACTTGCTGAGATAAAATGGTTTCTATCAGCCCTACTGTCTTTAAGGAGACAAGTAATTATAATTGGAAGAAGTTTTGTCCCATTGTTCTAATGCCTCCTCTGGTGCTTGTGCGCAGATGCATTTTCAAGGGGGGTAAATAGCCAGGAGTAGCTTTAGCCAAGAAAGGCCTCGTTGTGAGACAAAGCATGGTCACTGCAGAGGACTCAGTAGGAATAGTCGATGTCATGCAATGACCAATGTGACAATGTTTCCTGCTCTAAGGGCTTTTGATGTCAGTAGTCCAGTTCTTCCTCCAAAAGGATATTTGCAGGTTATCTAAATCAGTGCAAGTGACTTGTCTAAACCTTGCCTTCCAGCTGGAGAATGCCAAACTGTCCTCTGACCAAAATGACAAAGCTGCTGGTGCAGCTCGAGAGGAGTTGAAGGAGGCTCGCATGAGAATAGAAACTCTCAGCTACCAGCTTTCTGGCCTTCAGAAACAGGTAAGGGTCTGAAATTGCTTTCTCCTCTATTACAGAGCACAGTGTTGTTTGGATATATGAACTTCCATCCCTTAATACTTCCTGAATTTTATGGAGAAAAATGATTTGTGTTGGAAAGGACCTTAAGATCATCCACTTCCAACCCCCTGCCTCACACTAGACCAGATTGCCCAAGGCTCTGTCCAACCTGGCCTTGAACACTGCCAGGGATGGAGCATTTATCACTTCTTTGGGCACCCTGTGCCAGTGTCTCACCACCGTCACAGAGAAGAACTTCTTCCTTATATCCAACCTGAACTTCCCCTGTTTCAGTTGAAACCCATTGCCCCTTTTCCTGTTGCTACAGTCCCTGATGAAGGGCCCCTCTCCAGCATCCTTGTACCCCCCTTCAGACACTGGAAGCTGCTCTGACCTCTCCGTGCAGCTTCTCTTCTCCAGGCTGAGCAGCTCCAGCTTTCTTAGCCTATATTCATACGGGAGGTGCTCCAGCCCCCTAATCATCCTTGTGGCCTCTGGACTTGCTCCAACAGCTCCATGTCCTTACCTTGAGGGCACCAGAACTGCACACAGTGCTGCAAGTGGGGTCTCATTTTATGTTCCTTTGGGAGGGAGTTGAATTTTTACCATGTTCCCTGTGCCCACACAGATACCAAGTGGGTTTTCCTTTGCTGTCTTCCCAGGCCAGTGCAGCAGAAGATCGTATTCGTGAGCTGGAGGAAATGATGGCTGGTGAGCGGGAGAAGTTTAGGAAGATGCTAGATGCAAAGGAGAGGGAAATGACAGACATGAGGGACCAGATGCAGCAGCAGCTCACAGAGTACCAGGAGCTGCTTGATGTTAAATTAGCACTGGACATGGAGATCAGTGCTTACCGCAAGCTCCTGGAAGGAGAAGAGGAAAGGTATGTACAGATTCCATGTTCTTAGGACTCACAGGAGTTACTTGCACTTCTTATGTTTTCGGTTTCGCTAAAGTCATACTGGCTTCACACTACAATGTGTTGTATGGAAGACTTACATAAAACACATGTAGGTGTTCTCTGAACACTGTATTTTGGTTTTTATAATGGTCTCAGAGTACAGTGCAATATATCATTCCATGCTTGACATTCACAGAAGCACAGAATGGTTTAGGTTGGATGTTAGGTTAAAGCCATTCCTCCTTGTCCTGTTCCTGTAGGCCCTTGTCCAAAGCCCCCCTCCAGGTTTCTTGCAGCCCCTTTAGGCACTGGAGCTGCTCTAAGGTCTCCCCTTTAGGAGCCTTCTCTTCTCCAGGCTGAACCAGGCCAGCTCTCTCAAAAGCAGAGCAGACATTCATCTTCTCTTTATTCAAGTGCTTATACTTCTAAGTTTTAAAATCATGTGACCCAAGAACATTGTGTTTTGTAGTGAATATACTGGAGGGAAGGGTTAAGCAGTCTGTCCTGCTCTCATTAGCACTGCTTTCCACGTCACATTATCATGCTACCAGGCAATTTCTCAGGGATGGATTACCACATCCTGCCCTTACCCTGCTCCTTATATTCAGCCCTCCTGACACACACAGTGAGGCTCCTTTATGCTTTGCATATTACAGCCTGGTTCCTGAGTATATTGTGGCATTCCTGCTTGGTGTGCAGTCCCCTGGCTGAGTTAATTAAAATTCTTGCTTCCTTGTGTTAAGGTTGAAGCTGTCTCCAAGTCCCTCCTCCCGTGTGACAGTCTCTCGGGCTACCTCCAGCAGCAGCAGTAGCAGCACTTCACTTGTTCGCTCTTCCCGAGGCAAGAGAAAACGGCTTGAGGCAGAGGAGCTTTCAGGCAGTGGAACCAGTGGGATTGGCACTGGAAGTATCAGTGGCAGTAGCAGCAGCAGTAGCTTCCAAATGTCCCAGCAAGCTTCAGCTACAGGAAGTATCAGCATAGAAGAGATAGACCTGGAGGGCAAATATGTTCAACTGAAGAACAACTCGGACAAGGTGAGTGTCAGCAAAACTCCTGGAGAGCAAGGAGGAGCTGAATTGAAAGGGCACAGCCTTTTGTAGCACAAGTAGGTGGAGTCACCTGGAGAGCAGGAGCAGTGTCCCAAGGTGCAGAATCCTGTGGTCATTAACAGGGGCAGGAATCCAAGTTGAACCTTACAATGTACTAGTATATGTGGTGTTTGCGGCAAGAAGAGAGCATAGTTCATGTCCCAATGTCCCTGTGCTGGTACCTTGCTCATGTGAATAGCCTTGCTGGCTCTGGCAGAATGGTTTTGTCTGAAATGTCTTTTTCAATTTTGCTGAATGACCTGATGGAATTTACACTTGAGACTATGAGTGGGTATAGAAAAATACTTTGAAGTTAGAATGCAGATGTTTACCAACCATGTAAATTTATATCCACATCATTTTAATAGAGAGACCTAGAGAAAGCTGTGGTGCCTCTTTGCTTGGTTTTGCTCACCCTAAATAACCTGATGACTCTCTCCATTAGGATCAGTCTTTGGGTAACTGGCGACTGAAAAGACAAATTGGAGATGGAGAAGAAATTGCCTACAAGTTTACTCCTAAGTATATCCTCAGAGCTGGGCAGACTGTAACAGTAAGTTCTGCTTACAGTGTGTCAACCACGTACTCCTTTTAGCGATACTGTGGCAGTTGTAAAACGCTTGGTACAGCCTGATTTGATGTGAAACTTGGGGTTTCATGGATCTCGTCTTAGAGGAGCAGGGTTTCAGTTACAAAAATGCAGAATAGAAATTTCTATGTGAAGCATGAAACCACTTTGGGGACAAGATACAGTTGAAGAAAAAGGTGGGTTTGGGGGGGGGTAGGTGGGTGTTGGTTTTCAGACACCTTTGCCCAGGTTTGGAACAGGAACCCTGCTCAACCTCTTGATGAAATAGAATGTTTCAGAGCTTTCCTTCAGTCTTGTGAACTTTAGTTACAACTGGGTGTTCTCAGCCTTAACTGTAGTAGAACAGCCGCTTTTCTCTGATGGTGTGTTTGACTTGCATAATATGTTGCATGTTATTGCAACAGATGCAATTTCAGAGGAAAAAAGATGACTTTCTTTGAATCAATTCCAGCTATTTCTATATGTATCTTACTCAGATACATACAAAGATGGCATTGCTACACTAGAAGCTGCAGTTTGCCTTGGCTCCATGCAGTAGGCTCATTGAGATGGGAAGGATGAATTTGTGTGTTAAGAATTGATAATTGCAATAGTAGAGAGTTGTTTGTTGTTATGGCCACTGTTACCCTTTGTTGTAGACAGAATAATAACTTACTACAAGTAGTGGTGTAAAACTGCCAGTGGAATTCAGGAACAAAACCAACATGCAAAGAAAAAGTAGGAGAATTAGGGGGTTCTGTGTATATATAAAACTAAAAGGTGCATCTCCAGGTAATTACAGAATGTCTTTCTCACTAGATTTGGGGTGCAGATGCAGGAGTATCCCATAGCCCCCCTTCTGTTCTCGTGTGGAAGAATCAAGGCAGCTGGGGCACCGGAGGGAATATCCGCACGTACCTTGTCAACTCCGAAGGAGAGGTAGGAAGAAGCTGGGGGCTGGGTTAGTTCCCAGAGCCCTTCATTTGGAGGGCACTGCTGGGGGGATGGCAATGCCAAAATCCTGATTTTTTAAGGTCCCCCCCCATCCAAAATAAGTTTCTAACACTGAAATAACCTTGGTTTTTGGAATTGTTTTTAGTGTTAGATCTAGGGCAAGTTGCTTTAAAACCTCCAAAATTTAATAGGGGTATTGTACTGTGATGGGATAGCAAAAGCTTAAGGTAGCTATAGACTACTGCTGTCTCCTTGTCTGTCTTTTTGTGTAGGAAGTTGCAGTGAGAAGTGTCACTAAATCAGTAGTTGTGCGAGAGAACGAAGAGGAAGAGGATGAAGCAGAGTTTGGAGAGGAAGACCTTTTCAACCAACAGGTAACAAGATGCAGACCAGATATTTAACTTGTGCCTCATTTGTTTGATTAATCAGGCGTAAGATTTAGTCAGGGTCTCTTAAACTCGAGCTGTCTGGTCCATTCTTCCAATGGATGCTTGCAGAGGACAAACTTGGAATGCCTTGCGGCATTGTTGCAGTGTACAGGGAGTATAACCTGTGTGACTGCTCCAGGAGTTGCTGCTTGAGCAGTACAAGAGTACAGTGCCTGTTGCTGCAAGCTTCAGCTTAGTGATTTACTTTTCATAGTATATATCTGCCATGTCTGAAATGAACTTGATTTTCTTAATAATACCTTACATCTTCATAAGCTGTAGTTATATATTCATTATATATAAAATATAATATTCATAAGCCTGTGTAATACCTGACCAGCAGTGGCAGAGTACAGAGCAGTTGTGCAGCACAGAGCTCTTTCCAACAGAAACATCCTTTGAGTTTGCTGTAAAGCTAATGCCATCTTGACTGTCATTTGTCATCTGTATCAGTATTGAAAGGATGGAGATTAACCAGTGAACCACAAGGAGACCAGCAGTGTCTCAAGCCTGGCAGTAGGCTGTGATTTACATGGTGCTTTCTCTAAAGTTGTGCTATTACTTCAGTATAACCAGAGTCCAGGCTTACAACATGAAAAGCCAGCAAGAATTGAGTTCAGCTTTTTCTGTCTTATTTTAGGGCGATCCCAGAACAACCTCCAGAGGATGTGCTGTGATGTGAAGAAAGAAACAAATAAAACTACTATTTGCTTCTTTTCCCCATTTCTTTCTTTTTATTTTGGCTAATTTTTTTCCCTCCAGAGCCACTGAAAACTATTTTTATATGCATCATCTGATTTCTTTGAAGTTTACTCTTGGTACATTTTTATAAAAAGAAAACACAAAAAAAAAACCTTTTCCTGAACCAAACTGCCAGAGTTTTTAATAGTAATTTTTTTTTTCCTCCCTCTTTGTTGAAACACTAGAGTGGAATGCTTTTTTCCCATATCCAGAGTTTAAAGTCTTATGTACGAACCTGCAGCAGAAATGGGTTGAGACTCCTGGAGCGTATGGTAAATCTATAATTGCAGATATAGCCAGGATAAACTCCAAAAGGAAGTTTAGGAAGGCATGTTCACCTGTAGGGCCCCAGGAGAGATTCCCACAATGTTACTACCATTGCTTAAATCGTGGAGGAATCTTGCCTGGTATCCTCAGCAGTGTCCAGCTTAGGAAAATGAGACCCAACGTTCATGTAAAAGTGCTCCTCCAGGGAAGGAACCAAAGGGAAGTTGTGCTGGAGACTTGGGACCAGAACATCTTGTCCTACCCCAGGGTTTGACACTGGTAGAAACGTCTGAGTGTCAACACCTTTAGCTCCATATAATTATTTCAGGAGATGGAGGATGAAGGCTTCTGCTTACTGAATACACTACACCTTAAGGTGTGGAAGTGTCAAACCCAGAGTTTTAACTGTTTTATTTTGGGGGGATTTTGACATTGTCACCAATGAGACCTTGTTAAATCATGGATGCAGGTTGTGATGTGCAGTCGTTATGCCATGAAGCATCATGATTTAACACTTTTGACATATTCAGCATTAAGCAGAATGATGAGCATTTTAGATGTTGAAAATGTTTTTACTTTTGGCAGTGATAAATATTAGGGATTTTAAAGGTTATCCTGCATAAATGTTCTCTTTTTTTAATCGGAGGTGGATGCAGCTTGTCCATACTTACAGTCAAAGGGGCATTGTCAGATATCTTAAGGAGCAGCATTTGCAGAATACTACAGACATAGTTTAAGAACCTCTTTAAAAAGCTAAGAGAAACTGCTGCTTAGGATGTTAGCATTGCTTTGTGGTGTTCAAATGCTTAAAGTCAAGTCTAACAGGAAGTGAAGGGACAATAATGCTTTTTATAATAAATGCTTTCCGTGAGTAGCAGATGGTTTTTGGTTCAGGATGGTGCATTCTGTGTCTGACAGTGTCCCTTTGAATTAAGGTTTCTTCTGCTGCACTTCTCTGCAAGCTCTTGACTCCTATCAGGGTTAGTATTCCTACAGTAGCACATCTTTAAGCACTTGGAAAAGGCCTTGACTGCTCCAAAGAATGTACTTGCTGCTGTACAAGCAAATGTGGTTTTTTTTTTTTCCACTAGTTATTAGCTTTGGATACAAAATTTGGATACCAGTTGATGCCAGCATAGATTCCTGTTTTTACCTGCATTCTTGAACTCTGATCTTGTCCTTCAAGTAGTTTAGATTCATCAAACAAGCTACAAGGTTTGGATGTTTTCGGTGGCTTTTGGACATTATGTTCTCTGAACATTATTGTGACTGACAGATATAACCTAGAAAGTCAGTTTAGTGGCTTTGACTGATGGCTTTGTAATGCAAGCAGGGTGGGAACAAAAGGGGGGGGGGGTAAGCTTATGGATTTATTTTGCCATTTAAAAATAAATCAAAGATGCTACTTTCTCTATTTGAGTGGGATGACTGAAGTCCAGAAATTAATGGCTATTTACAATTACATTGTAAACCGTTATCAGAGAATCCATTACAGAAAAGCACTATGAAAGTTTGGCTGTTTGGGCTAATGGGATAACTCCATTGATGTACTTGGCTGGTTTTCTAATGTAATTTTCCCACTCTGCTTGAGTAGAAGGTTAAATATGTAGTAAATCACGTCTCTGTCAAATGTATTTAGTGGAATTATGTTTCTCAGACATACTGTGATCAATTACCTTTTCTAAATTTGGTGTTAGACAAATGAATGCAATCAATGTAAAAGCATTTTTGCAATGCACCTTCCAACCACTGGACAGCATTTCCCTTTCTGACCCACAGCTTCTAGAACATACTTTAAATGATGGTTGAGGGCTTTTTGCCTTTTTTTTTTTTTCTTCTTTGCCATAAAGTTCTGTGTTTATGTGTTTGGTTTTTTTTTCACGTTGGCCAGTTTTCAGATTGCTTATTCTGCTTTAAGATTGTCCTGTAAGCTGTTCTGTGATCTTTAAATACTAATGCAGTGAGCGTGTAGTTCATTTGTATTTTTTCCTGTGATTTTTGTTCTTTTCTCCTGTAAAGAATGGGCTGGGAAAGGCAGCTTCAACGAGGGAAAACCTCTTTGCTACCTGAGCCATAGTTTTCTTAACAGCTACTGTATGGGGAATGTGTCGTGTTGCAGCCTTAAGGACTGGTGCTTGCAGACCTTGTGATGGGCACTGTGCCCTTCAGGAACAGCCTGCAGGCTACTGGAAATCTGATCCATGGATCCAAGCTGTAAATTACAAGACATAGAAAAACTACTGTATTCCATGGACTTCCTTTGTTGCATGTGCATCTTCTCTGGGTGCCATCCTTTCCTCTTGCTTTTGACGCTGAGCTTCAGTATAACAGCACTATCCCTTTGGAGCTGGTGCTCCATCCTGGGAGTTTTTTTGGCTTTACCAAACAGAAAAGCATTGCTTTGTTGTGGGTTTGTTTTTTTATTTTTTTATTACTTTTTTGTCTTTCAAGAATTTGTTTTTTTCAGGGTAATGAAAGTGCCCCCTTCCCCTACTTCTTCAGTCCTATGTGTAAACCACACTTGGAGCATAGTCAGCGTTTCTTCTCCAGTGTCTGATACCTGGTGCAGAGTTTGAAGGAGAAAGATTTGACTTGTCAGGAGGCAAAGTATTTTCAGGCTTGGCTGATAAAGGACATCAACCAGTAAAGCTTTTACCAGAGTAGTTACTTGAGTGTAACTACCCCTATGGATGTTCTTGTTCCAAGAAAAACTTTATTCTGGGTGGAATAGTAAAACTGATTCCTAAATAATTCTCAGTGGTTAAGAGGGGGAAGGAATAACAGCAGAATAGTTAAGCCAGTCCTTTCCTTGTGTAGATCATAAAATCATAAAAAAATATGATAAACAAACACCACCTAATCATGAGTTTGTACTGTGTGACAACACTTGTGTGCGAATAACTCATCCTCTGCAGAAGCACTAGGAATGTGACATCCTGCAGATGGTTATGGAGAGCCTCTGACATTTCATTCCCTTCTTTCTCCTTCACTTCTATATGATACTTTACCTGTTATGTTGCAGTGATTAATTCCAAGTAACGATGTGGCTGTGATTCCTGTGTGTAGCTTCATTTCCCAGTGTGTCTACTTGGGCTGCTGCTACTCCAGATTTGCCCTGACAGAGCCAATAGTTTACACTGATGCATCGATGGCTCATCTGCAGCGCTGTTTTGCCAGTGGATGGGAATTGGCTGGCAGAGTTTGTAGCAGGAACCAAGTCTCAGGAAGAAAATATCTGCTTCCCGTGACCTGTAATGTCAAAGCCAGACGGGCTTGTCTGCAGCTTGCATGGGTCATGACGGTTGTATTGCAGCATGAAGCAGACTGTACTGTGAAAGGAGATCACGTTTATCCTAGAGCAACAGGACACCTCATGGTCAGTTCAGGGATTTTACTGGGGTTTTTTATACACCCTCTTTTCTTTTTATGCTTCTCCTGTATAAAGGCCCTTTAACTGCAACCTGAACAGAGGATATAGGAGAAGCTTGTAGAAGACCTCTCTACACCCCAGAACATTTGAGAACGTTCCTTTGGTGTGAAAGGTTTTGATGCTGTGTGTTTTCTCTCTCCTGTAGCCACGTCCTCGCTATTAAGCCATTCTATCCCTTCTGTTTGTATCTTCCTTTGAAAGTCTTATCTCTAAACAAAGGCATATCCATATTTGATACTGGATTTCATTGCCATGTTGGGTCCAAGCCCCGTGTGTGCAGGAAACAAAGCCTTGTTGTAAACCAGTGAGTGGAAGGTGAGATGACGATTGCATTTGGTTCAAAGCATTCTTTTTTAGACAAATTCTGTTGGAGAGTTTCTTTTCTCCCTTACAATGGCCTGGGAAACAGAATTTTATTTGCCCTTCAATATGCTTCGCTTTAAACCAATTTAAAATAATTTAAAAGTGGTGATTTTTTTATACAAGACCATATTTACATGCAATTATTATTTGTAAACGTAATGCCTTTCTTGAAATGCTAAGGTCTAGAGAGAGAAAAGGATGCTTAATATTCAAAGACTCGGAAACAATGAATGGACTTGGAGTTCAGTTTGAACTTCCAGAACGGGTTTGAACTTCCAAACTTCCTGCTTTGTTCATAATGACTATTCCACGTTGATCCAAGGTAGATGTAATTGTGTATTCCAGAATCACTACACTAAAATTGAGAACCAGTAAGCTCTTTGAAACGAGTTTAAGCCAAAACGCTACCCATCTGGGCACAAACTACAGTTCAGCAGTGATGCCTTGTGACTTGAATTGCGATTTATTGCTTTTTATTCTTTTTCCACGTTTTTAAACACAATCTCTGTTTAGATGGCTGTTGTTCTAGGTCACTGCTGGGCTTCACTGGCTTCTGGATCAGCAGCTGCAGAAGAGTGTTTGGAAGGTTCAAGTTGTTAAAAGGAGGAGTTGTGAAAATGGGTGCAAATTGAATTACAACAGGATTAACATGTTCACGTGGAATTTATGAAAGCTATGGAATGATCTAGACTTTATCATTTCAGAGTGGTTGTTTTATTTTTTCTTTTTTAGAATATGCATGCCAAAAGTCTTGTCTTTTTCCAATGATTTGTAATATACATTTTATGACTGGAACCTTTTTGTACAACACACTCAAATAAATGTTTTGCATTTTATTGGCTTCCTTCTTTCAGTCAATCGATGCCAAGCCCATATTGGCTGTGAGCAGCAGGGCAGGGAGGGGCTGAGAGAGCTGGGCTGGGTCAGCCTGGAGAAGAGAAGGTTTCTTAAGGGGAGACCTGAGAGCAGCTCCAGTGCCTGAAGGGGCTGCAGGAAACCTGGAGCGGGGCTTGGGACAAGGGCCTGTAGGGACAGGCCAAGGGGAATGGCTTGAACCTGCCCGAGGGGAGACTGAGATGAGCTCTTAGGCAGAAGCTCTTCCCTGGGAGGGTGCTGAGGCACTGGCACAGGGTGCCCAGAGAAGCTGTGGCTGCCCCATCCCTGGCAGTGTTCAAGGCCAGGTTGGACACGGGCTTGGAGCAAGCTGCTCCAGTGGAAGGTGTTGGGGTTGGAGCTGGAGGAGCTTTAAGGCCCCTTCCAACCCACCCCGTTCCGTGCCCTGGGCAATGGACAGGGGCGCTGCACGGTGCAGGGATGGACAACGTGCTTCACACCGCGCTCCAGCTGGTGAAGATGAGCGCGGTTCTGGCTGGAGCGCAGCTCCTCCTCTCGCGCACCCATCCCCTCCCTCACACCCCATTTACTCCGTGGCCGCGTTGATGCCATTTTGCTTCTACCAAGTCCCTCCGCGGTCTCACACCGTGGGGTCAGCGCTGCCCGCAGCCTGTCCCGGTCCGAGCCCCGAGCGCTCCCCGTTCCCAGCACCGCGGCCCCGTTTCCACCCTCAGGACCTCACCTCCGGCACCGAAGCTTCCCCCGGAGCCGCTTCACCCGCGCCGGGCTCGGCGGAGGGAGACCGGAGCGGCCGCGGTGCAGGGCGGGAGCCGTAGTCCCTCCGCGCCGCCATTTCGGCGGCAGCGTGCGGCCCGCGCCATGGAGGGCGGCTTCGGCTCCGACTTCGGCTCCGACTTCAGCTCCGGGGCTGGCGGCGGGGGGGGGAAGCTGGACCCGGGGCTCATCATGGAGCAGGTGAAGGTGCAAATCGCCGTGGCCAACGCTCAGGAGCTCTTGCAGGTCAGGACGGGGGTTGGGGGGCTCGGTCCCGGCCCTGCTCTGTGCCGGGCACGGGGGGTGTCCCCTGGGGCCCGGGGCTTGGGGGGGGCCGGCCCTGGTGCAGTGCGAGGAGGGAGAACGCGATCGCGGTCGGTGCTGCCGGCGCCATCCGGTTGGGCTCGGCCGGGGCCATCGGTCCCTCTCCCGGTTCTCCCCCCGGCCCCGGCCCGGTTCTTATCCCGGTTCTTGTCCCGGTTCCCCCCCCCGGCCGCTCTCCCGGTTCTTCCCCCGGCCCCGTCTCTGTTCTTGTCCCGGTTCTGCCCCCGGCCTGGTTCTTCCCCCGGCCCCTGTCCCGGTTCTTGTCCCGGTTCTCACCCCGGCCCCTCTCCCAGTTCTGCCCCCGGCCCGGTTCTTCCCTTGGCCCCTGTCCCGGTTCTTGTCCCGGTTCTCCCCCCCGGCTCCTCTCCCGGTCCTTCCCCCGGCCCCTGTCCCGGTTCTTGTCCCGGTTCTCCCGCCCGGCCCCTCTCCCGGTTCTCGTCCCGGCCCCTCTCCCGGTTCTTCTCCTGGCCTGTCTCCCGGTTCTCCCCCCAGCCCCCGTTCTGCCCCCGGCCCCTCTCCCGGTTCTCCCCCTGGCCCCGTCCCGGTTCTTCTCCCGGCCTGTCTCCCGGTTCTGCCCCCGGCCCCTCACGCCGTCTCTCCGCAGCGCATGACGGACAAGTGCTTTCGGAAGTGCATCGGGAAGCCCGGCGGAGCCCTGGACAACTCGGAGCAGGTGAGCGCGATGGTGGCCGAGGTGGTGTGGGGGAAGGAAGCGGGAGCCGCGGGGCCGAGCCCCGGGGGCAGGCGCTGAGAGCCCCGTGCCCCGCAGAAGTGCATCGCCATGTGCATGGACCGGTACATGGACGCCTGGAACACGGTTTCCCGAGCCTACAACTCTCGGCTGCAGCGGGAGAGAGCCAACATGTGAGGAGCCGCAGCGCCTGCAGCAGGGAAGGACCCATGTGGGCACGGGACGAGCGGCCAGGCTGGGGGGTGCAATCCTGCTGCCTTTCCAGCACCGACCATGGCAGAGCAATAAACCCTCCCTGAGCCTTCTGCATCCACTGGCTTTTGTTAGCAACCAACCCCAGGAGCGAGGGACTTTTCCAGCCTCGAGAGCCACCGTGAGCTGCTTGGTTCCAGACTGGCCGTGGAGCAGCAGATAAATCCCTGCTGGAAGGGCTGCGAGAGGCAAGGAGCATCCTATGGACAAGGAGCACCAAGCCCTTGCCCTGGAAGCAAGCATGGACCCAGCCACGGCACGATTAACCCAGGCCCTTCCCATCAGCTGCCACGCTCGGCTCCTTCTTCCCTTGTATTTTGATAGCAGGTTGGGGGCTCACTTTTGGGCTCGCAGGCTTTGAATCAGCTCAAGCAGTGTGTTGGGGAGCGGGGGCGTTTGCAGCACAGCCTTGCCCCTACTTGTACAAGCACAGCTGGGGATGGGAAGGGTTGGGAAATCCTTGGGTTGAGTTCATTCTACAATAAAACGTGTTGTGTGGCTGTGATGGTTTTGCCTGGTTTGCCTCTGGCACAGAAGGTTCTGTCTTGGAGCCTGCCTCCTAAGTAAAGCTCTTAGGTTTCTGAGGGAGAAGTGCTTCTGCAGCAGGATGTGGGTCAGTGTGGTTGGTGGCTTCTATGAAGGGACTAAAGCGTTCTCACACAAGGTGAACCGTTGGGGGATAACTGGGTATTTGGATTAATTGAAACTGGAGTTGCCCATCCAGTGTGGATGTGCTTTCCAGCCAGGTTTGCTTAGAGGCCTTGTTACTTTTCTTCCTGGCTGCATGAGTTTCATGGTAGTGCCCGTACAGCAGTCCTGTTTCATTGATCAGAGCATCCCACGGTGTTGGAGCCATGGGTTTGAACCCATCTTGAGCTAAGCGGTGCCTGGAAGCCGGGCTGCCACCTTGCTGGTGTTCTAGCTGGGGAAGTGGTGGATTTGGGGTGGGAAAGAAGAAACCTCTTGCTCTACCTAGATGCAGAGTTTAAGTGCTAAAGATTAGGAAGGGGGTTGGGATAGAAGCTGTTGTTCAGTTTTGGTGGTTGGATCTATGAGGAGATGTAGAAGTTACATGGAGATGTAGCAGCCTTCCGGTACCTAAAGGGGGCCTAGAAGAAAGCTGGAAAGGGGCTTTGGACGTGGGCCTGTAGGGACAGGCCAAGGGGAACGGCTTGAACCTGCCAGAGGGGAGACTGAGATGAGCTCTGAGGCAGAAGACGTTTCAGTCACCCCTCCCACTAGAAAGGCCACGTTTTAATGCATGGGATATTTGGCCAGGTCTTAAGATGGACAGGCCTCCTTTATTTATAGAAAACGTCTAGATTTGTACCTTTCTATGCAAAGCACTTATCACATGCCCTGGTGACACGGTCGCTGTGGGTCACACAACCCTGGCATTTGCTTGGCCATCATCCCTCCTTTGCAGCAACAGAACAAGTGCACAGTAGCTGAGGGGTTAGTGCATCCTCTGACAATGACTCTTTGCCTTTGTCTTCTTCCCTGAGTGGTGAAACGCAGCTTCAGAGCTTGAGGTTCTGCGCAATCCAGCCCTGCACAGCCGTGACTTTGGTGTAGACCCCAGGGAAGTAGGGCCTGGCACAGCCATAGCCCCAGCTGGTGATTCCTGCTAGAAACCACTTCCCTGAGGGTTCTTTACAAGCCAGGGGCCCGCCCGCGTCGCCCTGCAGGAAGAGGAAAAGGACCTGGATCAAGCCAAGGCTGCAGCCCAGCCCTCCCCATCTGAGGCATTCCTCCTCCCCGGGACATAGGAGAGTTTGCTGTCCTGTCCCCCACCTCCCCCGGAGCCTGCTTGCAAGCTGGAGGGCTCCTCAGTGATGTGCTTGCGTGAGGTTAGGGTTTGGAACGTGGAAGAGTGTTGGGAGGCGCAAAGAAGGCCATGAAGCAGGCTCCACGGTGTGCCCGTGGTCTCCTGCTTTTCATTACCTCCGTGCCTCATTCCCTGCCCTGTCCTAGGCTGATGGCACAGGCAGAATGAGGGACCTGGGTGACTGCAAGCGCCAGTGGGGATGGATGGACAGAGAGCTGAGCTGGGGGAGGCAGGGCACGGCTCTCCTCGGGGAATGCAGCCTGGGATCGGACTTTGTGTTTGCTGTGCTCACACTCACTGAGCAGCTGTCGACGGAGCCCTGCGGGAAGCCAGCACACAGCATCCTGCTGCTGATCTGCACCGGGTAGAACTTCTTGCAGGCCTGGTCTCCAATCACGTTCACTGCTGCTTTCTGCAGGTGCTTTGCCATGAGACCTGGAGGGGGCAAGCCGAGCCCTTAGCTTGGTGCAGAGCGGGTGAGGAGGACGTGGAGATGGGGCTCTGCAGCCGTGCTTGCTTGCAAAGGGGGAGACCTAAGAGGGGAAGTGAATTGGGCCTCATCCTTCCCGGCAGAGCAAGCACTGGAAGGTCCCTTAGGCTCATTGACCAGATAGAAATGGTACCGGGGTGGTTCTTGTGCTGCAGGAGCCGCTGCGGCAGGGATGGGGAGCACTGTGGCTGGGATGCAGAAAGCTTGGGAAGGCTGCAGGAGGGCAGAGGTGTAACCAGATGGAGGAGTACCATGCACGTGGGGGGGAAATCGGGGTGACACCAAGGTTGGTAGCCCTTGGTGGGGGAGTGCTTGGGCCACTGGAGGGGGAATGGGGATGTTTGGGCTCACAGGGTGGCATGGATGTGAGGGAACCTCCTCAACCAGTACCTCCTTCCGTGGTGGAGCCCCAGCCTGTGATGAAGCATCTGGCTCCTTCGTGGAAGACGTGGGAAGTGTGCGGGAGGCAGATGGGTCTGATGGTGGTGCTGAACCCGACGGGCGCGCTCAGCTCTAGCAGGGCCACGTCGTAGTCCAGGCTGTAGACGTTGTAGAAGGGGTGCTTGTAGATACGGAATATTTTCTCCATCTTGCCATCAGCGCCATTCAGGAGGGGGGTTCCTAGAAAGGCCACCCACATTTTGGGGTCACTGTAACTGCGGAAAGACAGCAAACCTGGCTGTTAGGAGCATGGCCTCACAAGGAGGGCTGTTCCTCCACTCGTGGGGCTGGGCTGTGCTGTTCAAGGCCAGGTTGGACAGGGCTTGGAGCAAGCTGCTCTAGTGGAAGGGGTCCCTGCCCGTGGCAGGGGTTGGAGCTGCGTGAGCTTTAAGGTCCCTTCCAACCCAAACCAGTCTGTGGGTTTCCAGTTCCTTCCTCTTCACACTTAACCCACAGGGGCACATGTGCAGTAGTGCGTGCTCCCAGTGGGGCGCAGCATCGCAGCCACGGTGCTGGAGGCAAGGAACGGGGAGGGCAGCAGGGTTTATGGGGTCTTGGACTTACATATCGAAGCAGTGGGCTGCAGAGAGCAGCCACCGGTCGGCAATGAGCACAGCCCCACACTTGTGCTCCTTCCGCCGCAGCCAGAGGCTCACTTGCCAGGGCCATTCTCCTCGCGCCGCGGTGCTGCCGCCCACGATCTTGCTGAAGGCCAGAGCAGTTGTGGAGCCGCAATCTGGGGCAGAGGAAGAGGCGCTATGGCTTTAAACACCAGGCAGTGAAGGGGATAGCTGCCCTCCTTCCATTCCCCATGCCATGGGGCAGCCTCTGGGGGAGACATCCATAGGGCGCCCATGTGAGGGAAGGCTTGGCAGACATGGTGTGGTTTGGGAACTTCTACTTGGTGTCACAAGGACCAGTCCTGGGGATGACAGGGCATCTTCTGGACTGCCACACTGAGCAGAGAGGTCTTGCCAGCTTGTCCTTACTGGCTGGAAGACCTGAGGGCTGGGGAGTGGGTCTGATGGTTCTAACAGAGGGGAAGATGCCAAATTTTCTGGCATAGAATTTGATCTCTGCTCATCCATCTTCATCTCTTTATAGGCTCTGGCAGAGCAAGAAGGGGCTGGGGCAGGAACCCAGCATAAAACATGGGGCCCAAGACCCGTGTGAAGCTGGGGAGTTGCAGTGGGGAGCTGGGCAGTGTAAAATGAGGCTGAGCAGCAGGTGTGGTGCTCACCGCAGTTGCGCTCATCGAAGCCGTTGCTGCAGTCCACGATGCCATCGCATTCAGGGTTTTCTTTTCCAATACAGACCTTGCTGGAGCACTTGAAGGTGAGGCTGGTGCAAGGCACCACTGGAAGGCAATAACCCATACCCTGCTCAGTTACCCGCTGTGCTGGGGCTGGAGGTCTCGTCCCAGCATGGCAATGAATCAGGTTTACCCGGGGTTTGGGTGGGCTCGGCAGCCTCACTGGTTTCCAGCGCTGGGGAGGTTTCTTTCATGCTTGTGGTTGTCCTCATCCCCAGCGTGGTTCTGTTGTCTGGACCTGCAGATGCTGGGCTGGGCTGGTGGGTGAGAATGGCTGCAGGAGCTGAACTGGAAGGGCTGCCTGGGCCAGGACTGGGCGACGGCGAGATGGTGCCCAGGATCCAGTCCTGGAGCTTGGTGACTCTGGAGTACACCCCGGGTTTCATAGCCTGGGCGCAGCCAATGCCCCAGCTCACGATGCCAGCCAGGTAAAACGTTCCTGGGGTCACCTCACAGGCCAAGGGGCCTCCTGAATCGCCCTGGGGAAGAAGAAGCAAGGCGACGGCTGCTCAGCCTCATCTCCCCAGTACAGGTCTACGTGGGAGCTGCTGCTCAGCCGCACCGGGAGGACTTGGCTAACTCCCCTTTCTCTAGCCCTGCAGGTCTGCAGCATGGGTGCGATGGATGTGGCGTCGGTGGCTGCACGGATACAAGTGACATCGGTAGCTCCTGACAGCACCTTTCCACCCGGGCAGGATGGCCACCACCAGCTGCCACTGCCTCACAGCCACAGGGGATGTGCTGCATCCAGCCTGGCCCCGCTGCGCAGTGAGAGGTTGTTGCTCAACTTGAGGGGGCTTTATTTATTCCTCTAAAGCTCCAAGGCCGTGGGCTGGGGTCTTTGAGCTAAGGGACGTGTGGATTACACCCAAGGACATGCTGAGGCTGGGAGTTAGCCCAGCTTTCTGGACCCAGCCGTGGAAGAGTAGAGACAAATCCCAGCCTCTTACCTGGCACGAGTCTACCTTCCCCTCCAGGAAGCCAGCACAGATCATTCGGTCAGTGAGGGAGAAGTTGTAGAGGAAGTCACAGGTTTTCTGGTCTATGATGCTCACAGAGGCTCTCTGCAGGACCTCAGGATTGGTGGCTGCATGGAAACCACAGCATTAGTGAGTGGAGCGGAGGGAAGAGGGAACTCATGGAAAACAATCCCTAAGCCCATCAGCTACATCAATCCTACATCCCATCGATCCTACATCAGCTCTCAGCACTCATAGAATAGTTAGGGTTGGAAAGGACCTTAAGATCATCCAGTTCCAACCCCCCTGCCATGGCCAGGGACACCTCACACTAAACCATCTCACCCAAGGCTCTGTCCAACCTGGCCTTGAACACTGCCAGGGATGGAGCATTCACAACCTCCCTGGGCAACCCATTCCAGTGCCTCAGCACCCTAACAGGAAAGAATTTCCTCCTTATATCCAATCCAAACTT